CAGCTCTTCAGCTCAAGGCGAGCGCTCTACCAGTTGAGCTACAGCGCCACTTCCGGTTTTCTGGTGGTTTATTGGAGATAGGAGTCTCACGGTCTTTCCTGCCCGTGCTGGCTTTGAACCACGATCCTCAGATCTCAGCCTCCTGAGTAGCTAGGATTACAGGCGTGAGCCACCAGCGCCCGGCTCTCTGAGCTTTTTTTGCTAAAGGCTAGCATTTGACCACTTGAACCACAGCACCACTTCTGTTTTTTGAATAGCTAATTGGAGAGATAATCTCGACTCCCCAAATAGCTAGTATTAGAGGCTTGAACCACTGAGCCCAGTTCATTTTTATGTGATTCTAGGCTCTCCCCCTCCCACTCCATTGCCAGAGTGGGGTTTGAACCTAGGGCCCCATGCTTGCTATGCAAGCACTTTTATTACTGGTTCGAAAGAAAAGAAATAATGTCTTGGCAGTTCATTAAGAAAAGTTTTAAGCCGGGGACTGGTGGCTCACACCTGTCACTCTGGCTACTCAGGAGGCTGAGATAGGAGGATCACAGTTCAAAACCATCCTGGGCAGGAAAGTCCATGAGACTCTTTTTTTTGGGGGGGGGGATCTGGTCGTGGGGCCTGAACTCTGGGCCTGGACACTGTCCCTCCGCTCTTCAGCTCAAGGCTAGCGCTCTACCACTTGAGCCACAGCGCCATTTCCGGATTTTTTTTTCTGCTTATGTGGTGCTGAGGAATCGAACCCAGGACCTCAGGCATGCAAGGCAAGTCCTCTACCACTGAGCCACCTTCCCAGCCCTGAGACTCTTAACTCTAATGAACCACCAGAAAACCGGAAGAGGTGTTGTGGCTCAAGTGATAGAGTGCTCACCTTGAGCTGAAGAGCACAGGGACAAGTTCGAGCCCCATGACTAACAAAAATAAAAAAAAGAAAAAAAAAAGAAAAGAAAGAAAAAAAAGAAAAAAAGTTAGCCTAGAAATCATATATGAAAATAAACATTAAGATCTCATTTGTCATAATTACATGTTACCTCTCAGACAATTTCAATCTATATACCAAAATTTTCTTGTTAAACAACGTTAGTTTTTGCCCTTATTTCTTGATTTTTGAGTATTTAAACTGTTTCCTATATAAGATTTGTATTTATATATCAAATATTTTATATTGTTTTTAGAAGTGTTCTGTTGCCCTTACAACTACTAAACTTTATATTCACCTTGGCTTATTTATATTTCTTTTTCCTTTTAAAAACTTTTCCTTTTCTTTTTTTGTTGGTTGTAGGGCTTGAACTCTGGGCCTGGGCACTGTTCCCTCAGCTCTTCAGCTCTTTGACTCACAGCACCACTTCTGGTTTTCTGGTGGTTCACTGGAGATAAAAGTCTCATGGCCCTTCCTGCCCGGGCTGGCTTTGAACCGTGATCCTCAGATCTCAGCCTCCTTAGTAGCTAGGATGACAGGCGTGAGCCACCAGCACCGGCCTTTATTTTATTTTCATAGCCGATAAGTATTCAAATGTTGTGAATTGCTCTGAGGGAAAAGGCATTATAATATAAAAAGTAAACACATGACTCTCCACATGCCATCCTTTTTCATTCTTTTGGACAGAATTTGAAAATTTGTAATAGGTTTGTTAGGAATCACTTTAGCTTCTCCTAACCTGATTTTGTTTGTTTTGTTGGTGTAGGGCTTGAACTCAGGGCTTGGGTGCTGTCCCTGAGCTTTTTGCTCAAGGCTAGCATTCTACCTTTTTGACCCACAGTGCCACTTCTGGTTCTGTGGTGGTTAATTGCAGATAAAAGTCGCCAGTCCCCATTGGCAAAAAAAAGTAACAGCCATATTCAGATCTCAGCCTCCTGAATAGCTAGGATTACAGGCATGAGCTACCAGCCCCTGTCCCTTCTAACCTGCTTCTTAAATACCATACAAGGCATTCCATTTTCCTTTAGCCTAACCATCTTCCTCAGTAAACCCACTTCATCAGCACCATTGGACTTCCTTAATACTGAGTCAGTGTTTACAAGACCAAGGCAGGGCTGCCACCTGGTGGTCAAAGCATGCACTGCTAGCTCTACATGGTTCTGCATTTCCAAGTTCAGGTCAACTTTTTTTTTGGTAGGTTGTGGGCCTTGAACTGAAGGCCTAGGCACTGTCCCTGAGCTTTTATGCTCAAGGCTAGTGCTCTACCACTTAGAACCACAAAGCCAGTTATAGTTTTCTGATGGTTAATTGGAGATAAGAGCCTCATAGACTCCTATTTGGGCTGGCTTTGAACCACGATCCTGACTTTTAGCATCCTTAGTAGCTAGGATTACAGATGTGAGCCACTGGCACCCAACTACCACTTTTAGATTAATAAAAATCGCTCACGGGCTGGGAAGGTGGCTCAGTGGTAGAGTGCTTGTCTTGTATGCATGAGGCTCTGGGTTCAATACCTCAGCACCACATAAGCAAAAAAAAAAAACCATTAGTGGGGCTGTGGCTCACATGGTACAGTGCTCGCCTTGAGCTGAAGAGCTGAGGGACAGTGCCTAGTCCCAGAGTTCAGGCCTCAGGACTGACAAAAAAAATCACTTTTTGTGTATGTGGTGTGGGTCGTGGGGCTTGAACTCTGGGCCTGGGCGCCGTCCCTCAGCTCTTCAGCTCAAGGTGAGCGCTCTACCACTTGAGCCACAGCGCCACTTCCAGTTTTCTGGTGGTTTATTGGAGATAAGAGTCTCACAGACTTTCCTGCTTAGGCTGGCTTTGAATCGTGATCCTCAGATCTCAGCCTCCTGAGTAGCTGGGATGACAGGTGTGAGCCACCAGTGCCCCTGGCTATGAGACTCTTATTCCAACGAACCACCAGAAAAAGCTGGAAGTGGTGCTGTGGCTTAAGTGGGAGCATGCTAGGCCTTGAGCAAAAGGAGCTGAGGGATAGTGCCCAGGCCCTGAATTCAAGTCCCACAACCGACAAAACAAAACAAAACACAGAATAATTACTTACTACTAGTGGGAGGAATGAAACTAAAAATCTTTACTAGGGGGTGTCCTGCCAACTGCACAGACACATTGAATGGTAAGTCAGCTGCCTTTCTTATCTATCTATTGGAATGGAAACACACTCATAATCAGTGAATAGAGGCCAGCAGGCATGGAAATGCTTGGTAGCTCTGTTTGGAGGCTCGTTGTGATGGCTGGGAAGGTGGCTTAGTGCTAGAGTGCTTGCCTAGCACGCATGATGCCGTGGGTTCAATTCCTCAGTGCCAATGTAAATAAAAAAGGCTGTAAGTGGTGCTGTGGCTCAAGTGGTAGAGTGCTGTCCTTGAGCAAAAGAAGCTCAAGGATAGTGCCCAGGCCCCGAGTTCAAGCCCTAGGACTGGCAAAAAAAGAAAGCAGATGAGATGCAGGCTGAAATTGCAGAGATATTCTCATGCGGAAGCCTGAGCTCCACTTGGCAAGCAGTGGTTGTCCATGGATTATGAATGCACTCTTCAGTTAATGTGGCTCTGAAATGTATTCATGGCCTTTTGTAGAATTTGGACTTCTAAGTGATGAGAAATGTCCAACAAACAGCTTAGTCATCTTAGTAAAAACATCAGTGCCAGGGTCTCGGTGACTGACATCCCCCATGTCAGCCTAAAAGGATGGATTCGGCTCAATTCAATGCGGATTCTGAATATATCACTAGGACTCCACCTGAGCAAGCTGAGTGGAAAAATATTTCCACCTAGCACCGGTGTCATGAATTATTTTAAATCTCATTGCTTATTTGAAAGACTCACAGAAAGCTGGTGCATGTGACGTAGGGAAGTAGAGCATTGTGGAGGAAGGCAGAGCAAATGGGGAATATCTGAACAGGTTTCTGCATTAGTGAGGATAGAAATCTACAGAGTAGGCTGTTCAGAGAGGAAGAACACAGTGCCTCGAGTTTGGTGCTTAGCTATAGCGAGAAACAGGAAGGAATTGGGAGGTGAAGTTACAAGGCAGGCAAGGCTGCAGGAATAGGAGGGCAGAAAGTCTTGGCAGGTAAGAAAAGGACTGACCTTACTTGACTTAATAATTGTTTGGAGGTTGATCGTGGTAGAGATCAGGTTAGTACAGTGTGTGGTTAATGAGCACCAATAACTTCTGAGAGAGTCTTGTCACTACAACATCTGGCTCAGATGAAAAAATCTTCCAAGTTTTATACAGGCAAAGAAAGAGAGCCAATTTAAGGACAAAGAATGAAGTTCTGGGCTGGGAAGGTGGCTCAGTGGTAGAGGGCTTGCCTCACATGCATGAGGCCCTGGGCTCGATTCTTGAGCACCATGTAAGCAGAAAAAGCTGGAAGTGGCGTAGTCTTGAGCTGAAGACCTGAGACAGCGCCCGGGCCCAGAGTTCAAGTCCCATGACTGACAAAAACAAAACAAAGACCCAATCAGATTCAGCCTACCGTGGTGATGTATCGGGAGTGGAATTCTGGAGCATCTTTTAGGAACGTAAGGCCAGGGTGTGTATCCACCACATCCTGAAAAAGATCCAACAGTCTGCTTAAAATCTATCTTCCGTCTCCTCCTTAACATTCTGAAGACAGGCAATTTACTTAAGACATCTGCTTTAAGGTACTTAACAGCTAATTCTAACATCGATGTTAGTTTTACATCAGTTTTATTTTTCCTCCTGATTATTAACTGTAGTTTCCTGCTTCTGTTGCATAGGACATTCTTTTGCTCAAAGTGAGTGCTCTACCACTTGAACCACAGCAACACTTCTGGCTTTTTTGAGTAGTTTCCTGCCAGGCTGGCTTTGAACTATGATCCTGAGATCTCAGCCTTCTGGTTAGCTAGGATTACAGGTGTGAGTCACTGGTGCCTGGCGATCCCTCACTTCTGAAACAAGACTCTAGGACTGTTCCAGCCAAAGCCTGCCCCCTAACCCCCCATGTAATCTGAGGGTATCCCAGCCTGGTTTTCTTCTTGTTACTTTCCTCACATATACTTGCTTTTCAGTATTCTGCTAAATACTCATGGAGAAGCTTCTGGGGTTCTTTGGGGGCTTGTCCCCTTTGGCGGTTCTCTCCTCTTTGGTACTTTGTCCTGAGAGTTCTACCTGCCTTTGTTTCCCCAGGACTTCCAACTGTGTCCTGAATTCAGCAAGCCCACAACCTCCCATTTCTTGGTTTGGACCCTATCTGGACTACAAGCTCTCTGTCATCAAGGTCACCTTGTTTTCTGCCTCTTTTCTGATGCCCATGTCCAGTCTCCTGAAAATCACTTCCATTTCTTATTTGGTTAATAGGTGGGAAGGTAAATCCAAATTTGGATCCAGTGGAAGATCTATTAATTTTCACTGTTAATTCATCATTTCATCATTCCCTATTTTATTACTTTTTTTTTTTTTGCCAGTCCTGGGGCTTGAAATCAGGGTTTGGGCACTGTCCCTGAGCCTCTTTGTGCTCAAGGCCAGTGCTCTACCACTTGAGCCACAGCACCACTTCTGGCTTTTTCTCTTTATGTAGTACTGAGGAATCGAACCCAGGGTTTCATGCATGCTAGGCAAGCACTCTACCACTAAGCCACATTCTCAGCCCTACCTCTCCCCCCACCCCCCTTTTTTATTTTTGCCAGTCCTGGGGTTTGAACCCTGGGCCTGGGCACTGTCCCTGAGCTTTTTTTTTTTGGTTGGTTGGTTGTGGGGCTTGAACTCTGGGCCTGGGAGCTGCTGTCCCTCAGCTCTTCAGCTCAAGGTAAGTGCTCTACCCTTTGAGCCACAGCACCACTTCCAGTTTTCTGAATGGTTTATTGGAGGTAAGAGTCTCAGGAATTTTCCTGCCAGGGCTGGCTTTGAACTGCGATCCTCATCGATCTATCTATCTATCTATCTATCTATCTATCTATCTATCTATCTATCTATCTATCTATCTATCTATCTAATCTATCTATCTATCTATCTATCTATCTATCTATCTATCTATCTATCTATCTATCCATCCATCTGTTATTAACTAGTTGTACAAAGAAGTTTCAATTTATTTTTACTGAACTCTTTCATTGTCCAAGTCAGTTTTATCATTGATTCTTGTGGATTTTCCTGTTTATTATCACGTTTTAGATTTACAGAAAATTTGAGAAATACAATACAGAGTTCCCAAATATCCCACACCAAAATTTCCTCTATTATTAAACTCTTACCTTAGAATGGCACATATTCCCACTAATAAACCTAATAAACCCATACATCATATTACCTAGTGTCTGTTTTCTGTTCTAGGAATTCCCATTATGCTTTAGTTGTCTTTTCTCCTGAGCTTCCTTTGGCTGGGGCAGTTTCTCGGACTTTCCTTGTTTCTGATGACCTAGACATGTTGGGTCTATATAGGTTGTTTCTGGAATGGAATTTGATGATTTTCTCATGATGAGTTGGGGTTTAATGGGTTGTAGGAGAAGATTGCAGAGGTGATGGGCCATTTTCATCATATCCTGTCAAGGGGACACACTATCAACATGATTTATGACTGCTGATAGTGGCCTTGATCACCAAGCTGAAGCTGTTTGCTGGGTTCTCCACTGCACACCCAACTCTCCCAAGCTGTCCCTGGGATTGCCACACACAGTATATCCCTCAGGAATGGAGAGTTACGTTCCTCCCTTAAATGGTGGACTATACTGAATTCTTTGGAATTTTTCTGCATAGAAGTTTTAACTCTTCTCCCCGTTCAATGATTTATTTATATCGCTACATGTATTGGGGTTTGGATTCAAGGCCTGGGCACTGTCTCTGAACTTTTTTGCTCAAGGCTAATGCTCTAACCACTTGAGCCACAGCTCCATGTCTGGATTTTTTGGTGGAAAATTAGAGATATGACTGTCTTGGACTTTCCTGCCCAGGTTGGCTTTGAACTACAATCCTCAGATCTTAGATTCCTGAGTAGCTAGGATTGCAGGCATGAGCCACAGGTACTGGCTCAAGACTTATCTTTTCTGATATAAAAATATATCAGGGCTGGGAATGTGGCTTAGTGGTAGAGTGTTTGCCTAGCATGCATGAAACACTGGGTTTGATTCCTCAGTACCACATATACAGAAAAAGCCAGAAATGGTACTGTAGCTCAAGTGGTAGAGTGCTCAGAAGAGGCTCAGGAACAGTGCCCTAGGCCCTGAGGTTAAGCAAAAAAAAATTAAAGAAAATCTATCTATCTATCATTCATCTGGTTCCATCAGTGAAAGGTACTCTACATGAGTTTTCTGGATGAGTAAAAGTAATCTATGCCAATAATATAAATCACTGATCTTGCTAAAATCTGCTAAAGGGAGCAAGGACTATTGTCCTTATTCCCAGACTGGAGTGTTTTCACAGGTTTTACGTTCTTTTCTTAAGTAGTTTTTCTTAACTCTCCTGACTACTTTTAGAATCTGGGAACTACTTTTAGAGTCTTTGTAGCTCTCAGTGTGTGTGTGTATGTGTTTTTGATGTTGTTGTTGGTCGTGGGGCTTGAACTCTGGGCCTGCGCGCTGTTCCTGAGTTCTTCAGCTCAAGGTGAGTGCTCTACCACTTGAGCCACAGCGCTACTTCTGGTTTTCTGAGTGATTTATTGGACATAAGAGTCTCACAGACTTTCCTGCTCAGGCTGCCTTTGAACCTCGATCCTCAGATCTCAGCCTTCTGAGTAGCTAGGATGACAGGCGTGAGTCACTGGCACCTGGCTCTCAGTTTTGATTTTATATTTAGTGGTCCTTTCTTCCTATCCTATTTTTATATTTTAAATAAGTCTTGGGTTGAAAATTATAAAAACCCAAACTTTTTAGAAGGGTGCTGACATCAAATAGTTGGGAATGTCCGAGTGAAGACTCTGGGGTTCATGACATTAGGCCTGGTTATTCCACAGCCTTCTTTTTTGCTTTTCTTAACTGTAAGTCAGTGTTTTCCAACCTTGGTTTTTAAGATTTCTGAAGATGCTTCAGTGATCACGGCGGGGGGGGGGGGAAGCTGGTGAGGAGGTGGGAGACTGAAGGCCCCTCTCCTTTCTGCAGCAGGGAATAGCCCTGCTTTTATCTCTTACTTCTTTTATAGTAGGATTCTATTTTAAATTTCATTTGACAAAAGGATTTTATGGCTCAAAAAAGTGTCAAAGCCACTTTTGAAGAAATCTGACCTCCAGGTTTGTGTAGCTCAGTTAATGTGTATGAAAGACTTCTGATACTCTATACATAGAAGTTATTTTCAAAAGCAAATGTTACCTGAAGTAAAGGGACGAAGTCCTCTTGTTCTAGAAAGCTACCGCTGGGCTTTGCCAGAAGAGAGATGAACTTAGAGGCGTCATCATGATGGTTAGTCAGCAACCTACAAAACAAACACCAGTTAGGAAGATCTGCTACTCTGAAAAATGACAGGCACTAGCAGCGGGGACTTCCAGGCTGATCTAAGGCCATTTAGGTTAAGAGTCAAGTTTGGTTGTTTTTTTTTTTAGTCCGTTGTGGGGCTTGAACTTGGGGCCGGGGAGCTATCCCTGAGCTCTTTTGCTCAAAGCTAGCACTCTACCACTTTGAGCCAGAGCACCACTTCTGGTTTTCTGGTGGTTGAATAGAGATAAGAGTCTCACCAACTTTCCTTCCCCAGGCTGGCTTTGAACCTCGGTCCTCAGATCTCAGCCTCCCGAGTAGCTAGGATTATAGGCATGAGCCACTGGTGCCCAACTTCAAGATTGTTCTTGATGGGTGTAGAGGCGAGAAGTCAGAGAAATCCATGACAATTGCCAAGTTTCTAGCTGGGGGTATTAGGTCTCTCGAATACAGACTGCAATGCTGGACTTCTGAAGATTTTTATCAAAGTGTTCTAGATGGCTGTTTCTCCCAATTTCTACTGTATTACCAAGTGTGGGTTTCAAAATCTTATGCTGTGAAGCAAAGAATATCCCACCAGACCTCAACATTCATCTATTACTACAGATGGCTCATCTCTAAAACCACTTTTGGTTACACAAGTCCCTCACTCAAAAAAATTTTTAAGCCAGATACTGGTGACTCACGCCTGTCATCCTATCTACTCAGGAG